TGTCGATGTAAAAGTCTTGCTCTCTAACTAAGCCAACAACGCCAGAAACGATACGGTCGACTGAAGACTATAGCTATCACATGCAATAATGTACAGACCTATTCCGTGCGAGACCGATTATTTAGGGTGAAAGATCGAGGCGACATGCGTATATCGTATGAAGGTCGCCGTCTCGTCCTGGGTCCTTCTCCTCACACCTCCCTCCTTAACCCTCAGCAAAGTGCTTGCCTCTAGACCCTCAAGGGAAAGAGCTCGCCGAGGCAGTAAGCTTGGTGCGGCATTTCTGTGTATATGAGGGATGGAGTGCAAAATTGGAGTGTTGTTAAAGTTAGGAGTGTGAGTGTTGTCAAAGTTAGGACTGTCGTTAAAGTAGGAGTGTCGTCAAAGTTATGTAGAGATGTTGGAGGAGTGTGCAAGATATAATATTACAGGGGGGCTCAAGCTTGATATATGCATTGTGCACTTGACCGCTTTCTGTCGTCCGACCGGATCGGTTTATACTGTATTACGATTGAAAATCGCCCTTATCACACTGTATTAAGTCTCAGGGACAAGCTTATCTTTTGTCTGGGGGAGTCCTGATCGACGTCGTCGACTCACCAAGGCATAGGTATAGTCACACTCGACACTGTATACATTCTATAAATTTGCTATCGACTGCTTTGGAGATTGAATACTACGGTATTTCTCTACCCGAATAGCAAGCCGTGGTATCAACTTTCTCATTCAAATCATCCATACGGTATTCTCTTTCCCAGCTGATCTTACGGTAAATATGTCAAATACCGGACTCGAACCTACAGCACCTACATCTTCATCATTGGAGAGATGGGACGATAGATATGATGATCCGGAAGCTAAGATTGTCTTGATCTCTTCTGATCATGCAGGATTTCGACTCTCGGCGTGGTATCTCGCTAAAGAAAGGTGAATACTGTACTTCAATGAGATGTGTCTCTATCACTCTTTGCTTTCCATGACCTATATCTACATCACTTCTGGCTCTCTATCACTTCTGGCTCTCTTGTTTTCTGGGTTGATACCACGCTTTTTTGGCTCTCTATGGTTCCTTAATGGTCTTTAATGGCTCTTAAGATGATTTCCGTGTTCTTGTTTCTAGATAGGATGTGGTTGAAATTAACTATTACATGAACTCAGAGATACAGCTACTGATGTGATATTAGTAAACTCGTATCGGACCTTGTCGCCCCATCAGGCATCGACAAAGACGCCGCCCACTCTCCAATCCAACTGGATGCACCATCATACGTCGTCCGTGCGTTTGCAGATCTTGTGACTTCAAGTCATCCATTACAATTATTAGAATTCACCAAACGCGACTACGTCTCCCTTTTCCACATCTGCGACCTAATGCAATCTCCATCATTAGCTATGAAGATTCGTGAGAGTCTCATTCAACGTTCCCTGAATCACCCTTGGGAGATCTTTGAACTGGCTTCACAGCGGAATGATGTCGATCTGGCTCGAGAGGCAATACGAAATATGGGCAACGAGGTACATAGTCCTGCGATACGTTTACCGCATTTCAAAGATGGTGATCTGGATGGAGTCAGCGTGAGGTTTGTGCTGGGACTTGTTAGGGCCAGGTTGGGATTACCGGTAGAAATGCAGCATACGAGACATCCACATACTACCGAGTGGGCTTGCACTGTTAGAGATTGGATTGATACGGCAGAGGCATTCGAAGCTTGATTAGATTCGGTGAAGCAAGCATGTGACAGCGAGGTAAGTTGTTTACTCTAGAGCCAATCATTACATTGACATATGGTGGAGCAGGTTAGCCGAGAGTGTTATCTTGCTGTAACCGGACATTTTGTGTTGTGGATACCGTATGGTGAAAGTTGTATATACACGTAAATCATGCAGTTTGCCGTTTCAGGTTCGCACTAAACTCGCACGGCTCTCACTAAACTCGCACGGTTCGCCGCAGCAAATAATGGTGGTCTCGACTCATCTAGGTCAGGTTGATTGTGATGTTGCGGCGTCTCCAAGCAACTCAAACTAGTAAGGCCCGACCCCATATCTGTCTGAACTGAACCATTCCAAAGGAAGCTCCCCGATTCTCCATAATTCATACTCATACAAGAAAGATACCTCGCTTTCTTACCTAACACCTGTCGTCTGCATTCTATTTCTAGAAGACCTACCTGTCGAGACTTGAAGAGAACCTACGGTGAGCGAGTCTGTACCAAGGCGAAAGATACCTTACTGATATAAGCGGACTGTGTGCCAGATGTCATCGACTGAGTCTGACCCTAGTGAACCCGAGTTCATTGAGGAGACCTGGGATGGTCAATATGATGACCCCAATGCCAAAATCGTCTTGATGTCGTCTGATGGCGTGAAGGTCCGCCTCTCCGCTTGGAACCTGAAGAAAAAGAGGTATGTCATTTTTGGGCTCGGGAGGAGCCCATCTTTGGGGCTGATAAGGTCGAAGGGCGTTCGTCTCGGATCTCCATGAAGTCTCCAATTCTGGGGACACCTCGGCCCCTATTCCTCTTGAAGCACCGCAACATGTCCTTCGTGCATTCGCCGATTTGGTCTCCTCCAGTACCGCCCCTTATTTTAAGGATCTTACAACATCCGATTACGACTTTTTGTTTCAGATTTGCGACAAGATGATTGCGCCAACAGAGCATGATAAGGCTATCGACAGCCTTGCCACTCAAGTCGAAAGGTTCCCATGGTATTCGTTCGTCGTTGCTTCAAAGTTCAAGAATGTCCCTCTCGCAAAAGCGGCCTTGAGTAAGATGGGAGGGGAAGGGGACAGTCCTGCAACTCGTCTACCTAATTTCGCACCAGGCGACCTCGATGAAGTTCGTCCTAGCTATATACTCGAGCTTATTCGGTGTCGACTATCTCCAACAATGATGTATCAAGAGTGGGATTTGCCCGAAACAGAGCAGCAAGCCTACGTATTTGCGGATTGGAACGACGTAGCGAAGAAATTTTCTCCAAGTGAATGAGGTGGATGCCATACAACCGCTTGATATCGCAGGCGTAAATTCGGTTGATGAATACAAATGCATTGGTGAGATACAGCTCTATACATCGCTTCACGTGAAGATGAGCTGTACATATATCCTGCAGGATACGTGACATTATCCCAGTCGTGGAGAACTGGGGGTAATATAGAGTTATAGCTAGCTAGACCCGCTACTTCATTACCACGAGCAGCTCAGATTGACGTAGCATTCCGAGTGGACCTTAGTGGCGAGTTTTTTGGATTTTGTCGCATCCACCTCCTTTCCACAGGGAGCTCAGACGTTCCCTCAAACACACATTTAGAATTAAAGGGGTAAACTGCTTGGATGACCTTGTTTCACACTGATTAGTCCAGGGTGTGATGACCTTTCGGGTGTTGATGTCGATCTGATCGTCCTGATCGGATGCCCATAGATGGCGCTAAGTAGTCTGTCCAAGCGTTGACGCTTCCGGAGGTTTGACCCTCACCTGAACCCGAAGATCATGAACTCTCTTTCCTTGCATGACACCGCATCGATCTACAACCGAATGGTCGCGGTCGCGCTCATGGGACTCACTTTGAGCGGCTCGACTCAACCGATACGTACCCAACAGCCCTCTGATCACGCTCCTATTGTGAACTTTGCCATGCCAAAACCCAGTAGTCTCAAAAAGGCGCCACAGGAAGCATCAGATGAACATTGGAGCGACCCACGAGCAGATATCGTGATTGTCTCCAGTCAAGGGATGCGCTTTCGAGCGCATCGATACAATCTCTCGAAAGCGAGGTAATCAAGGATTCCTGAAGGTCCACGCAGAGTACTGACTTACGAGCAGTGGGAAACTGAAGTCTATATGTTATCCTGCCACACAATCGACGAAATCCGTTACCGAGCCTGAAATCGTCCTTCATATGCCTGCTAGGAACTGCGCGGTGCGAGGTTTTCTTGATCTCGTTCACTGCTTTACTTCCTCCATAGCTTGTCATGGGATCGACTCGCTGGATTTTTCCGTTCGGCACAGGATCTATCGACTAGTAGAGCATTACGAATGTGTCGCCCTGAAGAGAGTCGTAGCAGATTCGATACGTCGGACGGCAACCCAAGGACCTTGGGAACATTTCTTGATCGCTGCGAATCAGAACGATATTGCACTCGCTCGAGTCTCACTTACGGCAATGTCACAGGCCGCCGATCTGAAAAAGTTCGAAGTATTACCGGATTTCTTCCTTGCCATTGAAGAGTTGCCACCGGCATGGAGGACAGCTTTGTTGGTCGCGCGATTTCAGAAGGAGGATCATAAGAAGAACAAAAAAAATGGCGAAAAGAACGATGATATAGAAGGATCAGGTAACTATTCTGCGAGAGACTGGAACCGCGTTGCCGAGCTGTTCTCCCCAAAAGGGGCCCAAAGCAAGGTGTCCGAGCTGGCTTGAAAGATCCCAGTAGCTAGGGATTGTACCATGACCCGTAAGTGATATTTGCCCGAAATTGAAAGCTCTGAGTAGAGATGATGTTCCTTCTGGTAGGAAATATGTGTCATTGAATATGATTTAAGGATTGATTAGGCCGTCGTAGAAATCAGGATATCATTGATATTATGCACCCATGTTTAGATTCTGTGATCTGATGACTGACCTCCGATAGCGTCTTGGGGGATTTTCATTTCCCTTCTAAGCAAGAGAGTTAGGCAAAATTAACCTTGTAAAGATGCTCTGAATCTGTCGCCATGACCTGCAGGCCTTGCCTCCCGCATAAGACATGGAGGCAGTGACATGCAGGCAAGGTGTGGGAGCTGGTTTGTGTTCTTCGTCGCCCTCTGTTCGTCTCTCACAGAAACATCCTAGAAAACATTATATGGATAGTAGCGGGTAAGGCTTCCATTAAAAAGGATCTATGCATACATAGCAGATGCCGTGAAAAGCATGCATAAAGGACGGGAGAATCAGGCTACCAGCTTTCATTACTTTCAACTATATAACTCAGCTACACAGTCGGCTGGTGTTCTTCTCTGATTCTCTGATAGCTCAGTGGTCAGAGCTCCGTGCTTATGTGGTTAACTTTAACAATTTTCACGGCGGTCGAGAGTTCAAACCTCTTTCAGAGAATGTCATTTTTGACTCCTTTTATTTCACATCACGCGCGTTTGATGGTGGCGTTTTGATTGTGGCGTTTTGATGGTGGCGGTTTGACGCCATCCCTTTTACACCTCCCTACCTCCTCATTCAAAGCTTGAAACAAGACACATTCCTCATCAAGGAGTGTTTACGCGTTAGGCACACCGGCGTCTCGCACAGGTGACTTGCAGGATATATGAACGCGCAGCGAGCAGAAGCGCAGACCATGTCAACATCAAACCCACCATTGGGCCTTGAGACCCACCATGTCTCCAACTATCTTCGATGCTGCCACCGTCTGCGTCTACAAGGTTCCGAATTTAAGGAGACGAACAGCTGTAGAGAGGATCAAGGACATCGTCTCCACAATCTGAGACTCGAAATTATGGGTCGGCACAGCTCGACTCCGCGATGACATCTACCGGCCGGGGGCTTGGACGAACTTGATGACTCTCAAGCTGTTCCTCCCCGATGCTGCATACGGTGACGACCCTTTGGCTTGGCAATATCTGCTTGCCTTGCGGACGAGGATTCCCGAGCAGTGCAGTCTCGATTGCAGGTGGGCTCCCTGCTCGAGGAACGACAAATCTCTGTCAGTTGTCTACGAGATTGATCCCCTGCCGGAAAGTGCGTCCCGCCTCAAGCTCCTCAATGCTGCTGCAGCCACCCTTATGGTTGATCCCTCGACCAACATGTGGTCAGATACTCCGAACCGTATGGCAGCGGACTGACTCTGGCTACGTTCAGTACGGCAGCCCAAGCGAGGTAAATAAATTGATACAAGCCGGACCCATCGAAATCTCGACAGCAGCGGCAAAATACACGGTCACGTTCTCTCGAATGTATTGCCAGATACTCCCCACTAGCTGCACCACCGTAGCCCTCCGCCGTACTGGCTATTGGGACTTCGAGAACGAGGCTAAGGCTGAGGCGAAGAAGGTGATGGAAAGGTACAATGAGTGCGTTATCCACTACCTATAGCGATTTTCCCACCAAACCACAAGCTGAAACTTATTGAACAGAACCGTCCCAGAGACAGAGAAAGCTACCATCGGTAACTTCAGACTCACCGAAGACCGAGACTGGCTTCTTTGCGATCCAAGTGATATTGTTTTCGCCAACGCTCTTTGCGAATACCCGATGCCTGGCAATGCCTTCTTCTGGACTTTGTATTCAATAGATGGCATCATCAATCCGTTCACTACCAAAGGGAACGAGGTGTACCGCGAGAGGCTTTATGACTACAACGTGCGGCTTACAAGCCATGACGATGACGTGAAGTTGGGAAGGCTTCCTCCTCCGACCAAAGACATCAAGCCTTACAGATATGTCAAGAAACCTGGACCCCAGAACGCCATGAACTACTACATCGCTCCGGTACCAATAATAATAGACGATATGATCACGCTTTCCAACCGAAGGATTGCATTGCTCCGTAACTTACGCCAGGGCAGTTCCAAGCCTCACACCGAAATAGACAACGTCTTACAACGCTTACGGCTGTCGATAAGCAGATCGTGGAACTCCAGCGCAAGAGAAACACCATCACGCTGAGCAAACTGAGCATAGAACGGGACGCGCTGAGGCACACCCTGATAAGCTATGGTGACAGGTCCAGCCTTGATAAGGAGAGAGACGAGATCCGGCAGCGCATTACGGCGGTTGATCAGCAGTCCGCTGAGATGGAGCAACAACTCGACCACGACGACCGATGGTCCGCCTGTGACACCAAAGGCTTGCCTGATCCGGCTACGAGCGTCAACGCGTCTGCATCCAACATGTCTGCTCCGGCGACTACGTCCGTCCCAGTCACGAAGTCTACCACGACGATCGCGACCGCTCCACGAACCCCCATGTTCCCTCGGACATCTGTCTTAGCGGAGCAGCCGCCCAACGGGAGCGTTTCCTCCGGCTCAGTAGGCCATGCCAAGGACCGACTAAGCACGACGATGAAATGACACCCTTTTGTTACCCCGAGTACTACGCGATTCCACATTGGTCAAACGGGGAGTTCCCTCGCCGAACAGCTTGACATTACTTCCATCAAGCGTTACCGTAGAAAGCTAAGAGAAGATGACGTGGATATGCGAAATCATAAGAACTCGAGGAACGAGGTGAGCCTGCCTTTCTAGACTGAGCTGATTCCAACAGCTAGTATAGATCCCTCTGAGATGCGCATCTACGCTCCGAGAGGACGTCTGAGCAGTGACCATCACTCCCCCATATCGACTTTCGTTTATTACCCCCAACCTTTCTGGCAGCCATATACCTTCCCGGACATTTGAAATGTTGTGTCTTGTGCATAATCCTTGTACGCAGGCGTTTCCTCTTGGTTGTGTAGTCTGTTCATGTTATGCTCGTCCTTGAGTAATGCTTCATTGCATCTGGCAAGCTACTGAGATCCCGTGCTCGTGATTATTAACAGTGTGATTTACGACCAATTCTATAGGTCCAGGTGATGTGATGACGTCACGGACTTCTCCGCCGCTTTGCTGGTAGAAAAAAATCCTCTCTTCATTTCTTCGGCTTTCGTACAGATGATCATATCCGTCAATCTCATCTCGAGAGCATTGTCGAGCATCTTGAACCGTACATAACATCCATAACTATTATTCATCATGTCGACAACATCCCTCCTGCACACGGCTCTGCAGAATTTACACGTGAATCAACAGATTCTCCAACAATCACACACTCCCATTCCTCCCGGCTCACCCGGTTCCGAAACCCATCGTACAGGCAGCGAGCTCGCGTCGTCCTATGATGGATCAGACGATGAAGAAGAGCTGGTTGGAGTTGGACAAGGGACGAGGCCCGCGACTCCGTTGCCGGGTCTAAGAGGCGGACTATCACTAAGGCGAGAAATATCAGGACAGAGTGGAAAGATCAAAGATCCTGTAAGCCCATGCGCGATAGTTCTGGTCTCGAGTGGTCAATCTCACACCAGACTAGCTGCGCACTCTACCCACACATCTTGCTGTCCGTGTATTTCTTCAGCTGGATATCCGTACGTTGGCACGGTGTAATCGCGTTTGTAAGCGATGGAACAAATCTTCAACTCTCAATTACGGTCAGTCAGACATGCTTCCTATCCTACAGCTGGGCTGATGTGATTGCAGTGTGGTTTCTTCAAAATCGAGCTCTGACGCTTCCACATCTCTCCGGCTACCCTCCAGGCTCCAATGCCAGTGGCAAGATCCGCCGCCTAGACACCGACACGCCTGAATTCTTTGACCCATATGACAAAACACCCCGACTATCTTCACTTCCTACCCCAGCACTACCCAATTCACAAACACCAGTATGGTCTAAGCTTGAATCAAAAAAACAATGGAAGACAGTCTTTCACGGCACCCTGAAACGATCCGACCCAAACGCAGAAGAAGAGATAGATTCTCGTCGGGTTGATATTGCGAGTTTACATTCATCTGGTAGGGCCACACCATCAGGAGGACATGCACATGCTGGATCTGGTTCAGGCGGTGCGGCCAAATGGGTTGGAGTGGGTGATGAAGGTGGTATGACACCTACTGAACGGAAATTAGCAGCTAGGGAAGGATACAAGGCTATGGGAGGAAGAAAGAGTAGGAGCAAGCGCAAGATGGGTGGAGAAATGGGCGCGAGAGATAAAGGAGGTGCAGTTGATGATGGCAGATTTGATGCTCCCTGGTGATGGTTATCTCTCTCTGGTGTTTTGGGAGCTCAGTATATTGTTGTTGTCGTTGTTCTTCAGTTGATGCACTTTGTACGTTGTTCATATTAGATTGCGAAGGTTGGTTTTCTGTGGCTGTTTTCACCTTCTGGCGTTGTACACCAAGCTATCCATCTGTCTTTGCATCTTGCGTGCTATGAGCATTGGGCATTGGGTACTACAAGAGCAGATGTCTTTGTAAGCAATACGTTTAAGGGAAGCCGAGGATATTTATCACCCGAGAAAAGACAAGGGTCATTACAAAACTCGCGTCTCGGGCTCATGTGCCGCCGACGCGACGTGATTTGATTTTTCTTCCTTTGAATCCATTCCGTAAAAAACCTCATCTTGCTTGCTTATTATTCTCTGGCTCATCTTGGGTTGGGATAGACGTCAAGTAGTCTACCTTGGAGAGTAGACATGTCGTCACCTGCTAGAGCGGCTCTGAAACGGTCTGCTTCGCAGCGCGCTACATATGTCGACTTGACTCTAAGTTCCGACGAGGATGAGGTTGACAACGACTCGGATAATGTCCGACCATTGCAGACGTCCAGAAACGTGAATTCAAGTGTCAAACAACAAACAGTATGCAATCTTGTATTACCAGACTTGGGTCAAATGCTGACTGTTCTATCAAGTATTTCACTCCAACTCCTACAGCTTCTGAAGACGAAAATGAAGATGATCTCGAAGGCGAACTTGAGGAAGAGGAGTATGAGATCGAGTTCATTGTCGACTCTGCATTCAAATTCACTAAAACTGGAAAACGTCTGGAATTCCTGATACACTGGAAAGGGTACAGCGAGGAAGATCGCTCGTGGACACCTGCGAGTCAATTCGAACCTGATGATCCGCCTGTACTCGAGTTCTACGCCAAAAATCCCAACAAACCTAGACTAGTTAAAACACCCTTAAAGACGCCTTTAAAGGGTGATTTGAGGAATTTCTTCGGTGTAGTAGATAAAGGCAAGGAAAATGCAGGATTGTCTAGGGAGAAGAAAGAAGTCAAAACGGTCAAGGATGACAAGGCGGCCAAGCTCAAGGATTTCAAAGAGGCCAAGAAACCAAAGGTGCTGGAGAAAAAGACCGAGGTCGAGCAAGTGAAGAAGCCAAAGAAAAAGGTGGAAAGCGATGATAGCGACTTTATCATGGAAGAGAATGAGTTGGAAAAGGATGATGACGATGATAGCCTTCAATCAGATGTGGACGATGGAGAGGCGGCCAAGGATGAGGAGGAGGATGAAGGGGTGAATAGCGATGGTCTTGAGTCTGTCGATGAACCAAGTAAGCTACCTACAAT